ACTTTTGATTCAGAAATCAAAAGAAAATATTAACATTTAGATGAATCTTGACTGAGATAATGTCATTGTCAAGATCTCTCTAAAGTTTGTGATAGACATCAGGCAATTAATGGAAGATAGCTTATCCATTAAGCAGTTGAATTGCCACCTGGTTAAACCAAAAGACTATTGTGTTCCCCCACGCGAAGGGGCTCCTGGAAATGTCTTATCTTACCTTGGTCTTATATCTGTTTGGACGCTCATGGGGAAAGCTGCAAGCTATGAGATCCCAGGATATTCTAGTGCCCCTTTAAAATGGAAACTTTCTGAAAGTCTCAGATCTGCTCGAGGTTTCATACAGGGGAAACGTAAGCCACAAGGATTGAGGTCCCAGACAATGGCTGGAGTCATCCTGGACATGGATTTTGGACTAGAACCATGGACTAAATTCTAAAAGTTCTTTGCAACTACAAGATCACCATCTCTATTATGTAACTGAACCTTAAGGATTGAACTCACATCTGTATGCATACTGCTCTTAACCAATATTCTCCCTCTTCTTTTTAAATGAGTCTTAGTTGAGTTAATAAGAATTGGCCATAAGCGTGTGTTTGGGATAAAGTCTGAAACATTCCCTGACCTGGAAGGTGATGTATCTGATCCTTTGGGATTGGTAGAACTTTATTTCAAAGGGTATCTAGGTGGGTACCTGAGGCTGGCTACTTTAAGGGTTTAGACTCCGATTGACCGATAAGGTAAATATAACTTTGCTGCTTGGTAAATATAAATATTGGAATAACCACCAGTTTCGGGAACAGACTGTCCCATTTCTTGCAGTGCACCCTAATTGAGTCACCTCAACTAGCTCCCTTGGGATCCCACATATCACAACTTGCCAACTACAGCAGATTATGTTGCTCAAGCAGGTTATCACTGCAGATGATGGCAGGTAAACCTTGGCTTCCAATAGAGTATTGACTGAACAATACTGTTGGGAATGCCTCCATAACGGATGCACCTCTGGTACCTGGAGCTGCATGCCATGTGCAGAGCAGGATGTGAAGTGAGAAATACCTATGTTTCGAACCATGATTCCTTTAAGTTCATCAACCTGGGCTTGTGTCTCCGCCATCTGATCAGTGCCCTTGTTCTCCGAGTGGTGTTTCTGTAACAGATGAGTTGAATCAGTGATGGTCCAGATCTGTTTAGAATGAAAACCATTTCTCTAGTCTCGATTCCTCATTCTTTCATAAAGAATTTGCTGATGGGGTGATAATCCAAACCTTTACAGAAGGAGTAGGGAACCTAAAGGCATGCCTGGATCTGGCCCCTGAGGCTCAGTGCTCCCCCCAGCACTGGGGAGCCTGTGCTGGCACTCCAGCTCCCCCCACTGCAGGGCTGGAGCACACAAAATCTACTAACCTGGACCCCTCCTAGGCTCTGGTGTGCAAGGGGAATGTGGGGAGGGTCTTTCTGCTTCTCAGTCAGAGGCCATGTCAGTGAGGGTTTGTTTCGTCTTTTTTGCTTCTCACTTGTGTGTGGCCCCCGACTGATTTTTCTGTGGGTCAGTGGCCCCCGACCCAAAAAAGGTTCCTCACTCTTGCCCTACAGCACCTTTCAAGAGATCCCAAAGTGCTTCACAAGCACTCTAACCCGAGAGAAATGATGTCCCACTTTTACAGAGATTTGACATATGCAGAACCAGACACCTGCCAGCTGCCCTCATCGCTCTTATGTAGGAGAGCCAAGTTGGTTTGAACAATTTGCACTTTTGGCCATTTCCTTGGTCTGCTGTGCAGGAGCCTGCTGCTGTGGGCAATGAGCCACAGGTGTCCTGTGCGCCATACCTGGCCTTTCTTCTCCCTTTAGTCCTCAATTACTCCATCAAGAATCCCAGCTGCTTTTTTAAACAATCTAGAAACTCCAGAGCAGCAACCCTGAGTGAGGCTCTTCCAAACAAACAGATCAAAGAGCCTAAATGGGCTGAGAATCATGATGCTAAAAGACCTAGCTGCCTAGAATGCGGCCACCAGTTACCCGAGCTCTAGGCTCAAACTCTCAACTCTTGCTGGTCCTGCATTTCCAATGCAACTTCACTCTAGAAAGGTCACTGCTCTCCTCATCCCCTTTTCCCGTCTCTCCCCAGCCTCTCCCATGACACTCCACCAAGAAAACCTTTCTGCAGCTGAGCTTATAGTTAAGGCACATGAAATTTAAAGCCGACTGGCCTTGCTCTACAAATCCAGTCTCGCTGATGATGATCACTGAGAGCTGCACCTTCTAACGAACACACAGGGCATCCTGACTGGACGGAGTCTGAAGGACACTAAGAAAGGAGTGCCCTGAGACTATTAAAAGCAAGCCACAGGAGAGCTGATCCTTCAGGCAATAGTGAGGGCCAGAGCCACCCCATGAGCTGAGTTGACTGTTCACTACTGGCTTCGCAGGAGCCCTGATGGTGCCTTTGCATCTGCCCCAGCAAACCCAGGCTTGCCCTGGCAGATGCTCCACTTAAGCCTCTTCTGATAGACACGGTGGCCCAGTGTTGCACTCTGGCGGTGCTTGCCTCATCAGCAACACCCATTAATTTTCACTGGCCAGAGGACAGGCTGGAAGTGGGGACAGCAGAGATTAGGGTTAGGAGGCTGTAAGAAAAGCTGACTGAAGCCACCAAGTGACTGGTTAGCTGCCACTCCAGTATTTCCCATTTGAAACTCTGTATATCTGTGGGGGGCGGGGGGTGATCGCAGAGGTCAGAAGCTGCTTCCTCTTGCCCTCTAACAATTAGGGTCATCAACATCATTATGAAGGAAGCTGGTCCAGAGCAGGAGGGGTGAAAGCTTTCCATGCTTGGGAGGCAATTGAGGATTGTTGGATAAGCACATAAGCAAAATTGTTGTGGATCTCTTAAGCAGAAACAAGAATGTTGCCATTGTCATTAGAAGTCAATATTTAATTGAAATTAATGAGGAAGTTAATCATGCAAAGTTATGGTTTCCATGTTATCAGAGGCTATGGGAAGTCTCTTTACACAACTGTTGACATTTATAACATTCGGGTTTTTAATATGGAAGCTGAGATAGGAGCACAAATCTGTGACCAAAAATGGATTCTTCAGAAACTCTCCACTCTCAGTGCTTCAATACCTCCAAGCTGTAGAAAGGCTACATACTCCTGAGCAATGTTTCCTCTAATTTTTTCCATCCATGTACAAAATAAATTTTGTTATGTGCATTCAAGCATGTGCAGATGTGCACCACCAGTAGACACACATGCTGCTGGTGATATGCTAATCAAGTGGATAGCATTTGAATCTCTCCTGTGTGGCTACCCAAGCACTCAGCTTACTGTTCCTGAGATGTCTAACTACAAAGCAGAGTTGCTGATGAGAAATGCTTCATTGTTCAGACAGACCCGTATGCAGGAATTTCTGGGGGGGGGGCATGCTTTTCTGTAAATGTGGACCACAAGGGTATGAATGTACCCCAGATGGTCCCCCAAGTAAGCAGGGAAATCAGCCCCAGCCTTCCCCCTGGTGGCCAGAGCAGGGGGCTGGGGGGGAGAGAGGCTCAGGCAGCACACTGCTCCTGCCTTCCCCTGGCTCGCTGGAGCATGCTTATTTGGGGGACCATAGTAGCACTCTTAACACCTCCCCTGAATACAGGCCTGAGCCAGAAGCTTCAACTACAGATCTGCACAAGCTATTACAAAGTACACATGCATTTCTCTCTCCATTCAGAACTCTTGCCACAGATGGGAGTGGAGTGTGATGAAGGACTTTGAAAATTGCAAATTTGTTTAACCACTTAAAGCAGTGGCTCAAACTTTCCAAACTAGTGTCCCCCTTTTCGGAGTCTGACTTGTCTTGGGTACCCCCAAGTTTTGCCTCACTTAAATACTACTTGCTTACAAATTAGACAAAAATATTAAAATGTTCCAGCATATTATTACTGAAAAATTGCTGACATTTTAGCATATAGTTATAAAATAAATACATTGGAATATTACTTACATTTCAGACTATAGTACAAAGAGCAGCATAAATAAGTTATTTTCTGTATGAAATTTTAGTTTGCACTTACTGCTAGTGCTTTTTATGTAGCCTGTTGTAAAGCTAGGCTAATACATAGAGCAGTGGCTTCCAACCTTTTTACACCCAAGATTACTTTTTAAATCTCAGAACAGGCGAAGATCTACCGCCCCACCCCTTCCTTGAAGCCCCGCCCTCTCTATTCTCCTCCTGTCCATCACTTGCTATCCCCAGCCCTCACTTACACACTCTGATCAACAGTTTATTTTTAAATTATGCGATACATACAATTAAAATCACGTGTTTATAGTTATGGAATAAATGGTCTGTTTTGTATTCGTGCTATTTAAATCTAAAATGAAGCATTTAGAATTATACATTTTGTGGGGACAGAGTACTGTGGCTGGGGGCAGGGGAGAGGGAACAGGGTGCTGGGAGGGCACAGGACAGGGTGCTAGTGGGGACAGGGTTCTGCAGCAGGAGACAGAGTGCCAGTGGGGACAGAGTTCGGGGAGAGGGGACAGGAATGGGGACTGAGTTCTGTAGCTGGGGACAGGAGAGAGGGGACAGAGTTCGGGGAGAGGGGACAGGAATGGGGACTGAGTTCTGTAGCTGGGGACAGGAGAGAGGGGACAGAGTTCGGGGAGAGGGGACAGGAATGGGGACTGAGTTCTGTAGCTGGGGACAGGAGAGAGGGGACAGAGTTCGGGGAGAGGGGACAGGAATGGGGACTGAGTTCTGTAGCTGGGGACAGGAGAGAGGGGACAGAGTTCGGGGAGAGGGGACAGGAATGGGGACTGAGTTCTGTAGCTGGGGACAGGAGAGAGGGGACAGAGTTCGGGGAGAGGGGACAGGAATGGGGACTGAGTTCTGTAGCTGGGGACAGGAGAGAGGGGACAGAGTTCGGGGAGAGGGGACAGGAATGGGGACTGAGTTCTGTAGCTGGGGACAGGAGAGAGGGGACAGAGTTCGGGGAGAGGGGACAGGAATGGGGACTGAGTTCTGTAGCTGGGGACAGGAGAGAGGGGACAGAGTTCGGGGAGAGGGGACAGGAATGGGGACTGAGTTCTGTAGCTGGGGACAGGAGAGAGGGGACAGAGTTCGGGGAGAGGGGACAGGAATGGGGACTGAGTTCTGTAGCTGGGGACAGGAGAGAGGGGACAGAGTTCGGGGAGAGGGGACAGGAATGGGGACTGAGTTCTGTAGCTGGGGACAGGAGAGAGGGGACAGAGTTCGGGGAGAGGGGACAGGAATGGGGACTGAGTTCTGTAGCTGGGGACAGGAGAGAGGGGACAGAGTTCGGGGAGAGGGGACAGGAATGGGGACTGAGTTCTGTAGCTGGGGACAGGAGAGAGGGGACAGAGTTCGGGGAGAGGGGACAGGAATGGGGACTGAGTTCTGTAGCTGGGGACAGGAGAGAGGGGACAGAGTTCGGGGAGAGGGGACAGGAATGGGGACTGAGTTCTGTAGCTGGGGACAGGAGAGAGGGGACAGAGTTCTGTGGCTGGGGACAGGAGAGTGGGGACAGAGTTCTGTGGCTGGGGACAGGGGAGTGGGGACAGAGTTCTG